GGATATTTTCGCTCACTCTTCATTTTAACCACAGGACCAGTAGCTGCATCAATCCACTTCAGCCGCCTGAAGACAGCACGACTCCTTGTTCACCTTCTGCACGCGACTTTCTTCCTTACTTCCCCCTTCTGCAAAATTTAACCGATCAACATCACAACTATCCCCTTTTTACTTCTCGATCCAAATTTTATCTCCATCTGAAATAGAAAACGATTGATCAATTGTCAAAGGGAGTGGCAATATTGAAGCAAACAATTAACGTTTCAAATGATAAGATTATTTGTTCACAGGTAAACTCAAATAAAATTTCATGTTGATTTTCCGTGATTCATTTATTTTTGATCCGTTCCCATATTTTTTTCGAGCCGAAGTTTTTTATTTACTTAAAAACAGACCATGACCTGATTCTAACCCTGAACCTCTGCCGTCCCAGGAATGGATGTTGCCTCTGCACACCATTTGCAGAAATAAAGCTGTATTTCGTGAGGTTATTAATATACCCAGCTACCAAATGATTTAACTAGTCTGTTTATTTCTTGCCGGCTTAGTTGTCACCTCAGGGACTTGACTTGTGTTTTATGAATTGAGCGCGTTTAAGTAAGATTCAAATTTCATTATCTTTCAAATTACAAGAAAGAAAGAAAAAATTTCTCCAAAATTAATAAACATACAATCAAAGCATCAAAAACTGAGACCTGGAGAGGACAGACAACGGGGTCCTAGGATCCACTAAGCGTTCGCCCCTACAGGTTGTAATAATTAGGTTTAAAAAACCAAACAAAATAACGAATAAAAAAATAGAAAAAAAATCTTCAATTTTTAGTTTTTTTTTTCAAATTCATAAAATCGATTTCAAAACATGAGGAAAACTGTTGTTCACATTCTTGTGCCGCCTGCTCTTACACTGCTTTTTACGAGATGATGATGAGAAAGAATTTTTTGTCTTTGATAAAATTTTTCCAAGTTTTTCTGAGTTTTTTTTATTGCGAAAACTACGAATTTTTTCGTAAAAAATGCGAGAAATAGAAGTTTTTGATAGGTCGTTTTGTTTCCACAGAAATTGCAGCCCATCGGAAGATTTCCAGTAGCATTAAACCCTGGGGTGCAATTTTTTTGAATTTCTTCATAGGTTATAAATATATCTAACCAATTCCCAATTTTGAATTAAAAACGTAGGTTTTCCAACTTGTTATACAACTTGCAAGCTCTGTACCGTTTCGAGAAACTTTCAATTTCCCGGTTGCAAAAATGTTCCGAGAGTAAATTAGCACTATAATCTTCTTAGAAATTTGAAAAGGAAACATTTCATTCAAAAAGCATTCACAGTGCAGATTTGAGAACAAATTTCAAAAGTTCGTAGATATGATTCTCAGATACAGCTAGCAAGTTGTTTTGTTTGAATATATCATCACAGTGATCTTGTCATTTTCGGGAAAAAAAATAAACTTCTTAGTGTACAGGAAACACCTTGGCTTTGCAAAGTTCTTTGGGAAACACTCCCTTGAAAAAAGAAAGGTTGATAATAAAGGCTAAATAGGGTGTCACAACTGTAGCTGACGTTTCTACAATTAAATTACTTATGTAATCATCGCCGAAGTTTTTTATTTACTTAAAAACAGACCATGACCTGATTCTAACCCTGAACCTCTGTCGTCCCAGGAATGGACGTTGCCTCTGCACACCATTTGCAGAAATAAAGCTGTATTTCGTGAGGTTATTAATATACCCAGCTACCAAATGATTTAACTAGTCTGTTTATTTCTTGCCGGCTTAGTTGTCACCTCAGGGACTTGACTTGTGTTTTATGAATTGAGCGCGTTTAAGTAAGATTCAAATTTCATTATCTTTCAAATTACAAGAAAGAAAGAAAAAATTTCTCCAAAATGAATAAACATACAATCAAAGCATCAAAAACTGAGACCTGGAGAGGACAGACAACGGGGTCCTAGGATCCACTAAGCGTTCGCCCCTACAGGTTGTAATAATTAGGTTTAAAAAACCAAACAAAATAACGAATAAAAAAATAGAAAAAAAATCTTCAATTTTTAGTTTTTTTTTCAAATTCATAAAATCGATTTCAAAACATGAGGAAAACTGTTGTTCACATTCTTGTGCCGCCTGCTCTTACACTGCTTTTTACGAGATGATGATGAGAAAGAATTTTTTGTCTTTGATAAAATTTTTCCAAGTTTTTCTGAGTTTTTTTTATTGCGAAAACTACGAATTTTTTCGTAAAAAATGCGAGAAATAGAAGTTTTTGATAGGTCGTTTTGTTTCCACAGAAATTGCAGCCCATCGGAAGATTTCCAGTAGCATTAAACCCTGGGGTGCAATTTTTTTGAATTTCTTCATAGGTTATAAATATATCTAACCAATTCCCAATTTTGAATTAAAAACGTAGGTTTTCCAACTTGTTATACAACTTGCAAGCTCTGTACCGTTTCGAGAAACTTTCAATTTCCCGGTTGCAAAAATGTTCCGAGAGTAAATTAGCACTATAATCTTCTTAGAAATTTGAAAAGGAAACATTTCATTCAAAAAGCATTCACAGTGCAGATTTGAGAACAAATTTCAAAAGTTCGTAGATATGATTCTCAGATACAGCTAGCAAGTTGTTTTGTTTGAATATATCATCACAGTGATCTTGTCATTTTCGGGAAAAAAAATAAACTTCTTAGTGTACAGGAAACACCTTGGCTTTGCAAAGTTCTTTGGGAAACACTCCCTTGAAAAAAGAAAGGTTGATAATAAAGGCTAAATAGGGTGTCACAACTGTAGCTGACGTTTCTACAATTAAATTACTTATGTAATCATCGCCGAAGTAGAACTTATAAACCAAACTTGATGATGATTGATACTTCTACGGCATTGACCCTTTTGAGATACATCGAGAGAGGAGTGCTTTCAATATTCGGCCTGAAAAAATTGGGTGTGACCTTTTTTGAGTGTTTTGCCTATGGTTGTGAAAAAAGTATTACATTTATTCGCATTATCGAAATCGGTTGGGTTCTCACTTATCTCAAAACAAGAATTCAATGATGGAGTTTTAAGGTTTTTGCCACTGATATCTTCAAGTAGTTAATAAGTTTGTCTTGAGTCTCCGATACAATGTTTAAATTTATTCCAATAAAACTGTTTTTTTTTTATTGTTTAACTTCCTTTTCGAATTGTGCTCTTCGGATATTAAATTTCAAAAGTTGTCCGAACTCGAAATCTGCGGACTTATTTTCCACCTCCTGTAAGTGCATTTCGCTTGTTTCTCAGATTTGCAAGTCTGTTGGTGAACCAAATTGGCCGCGTGCTTTGTGCATTTCTCTTACACTTGAGCGGAACAAAATCATGAAGAACACTTCCATGCGATCGCTGAAAAGCGGCGTTTGGGTCCTGTAATTCAAACAATTTATTTCTATTAGTTTCAAAAGTATCATCAGTTTTTTCCAAAAACTAATACTTTAAGCCGCTTCTTAAGAAAAGATTTATCACGAAAAGGATTTTCGTTGTTGTATTTTTTTATATTTCATTCTAATGTGATAGGATAATATTCAGTAATTTTTTCACAGTTGAGTACTTTTGAATTCGGCACTGATATATTTTGAAAAATAAAATGATCCAAACAAGTTTTGGAATTATCTGTGACACGCGTTGCTTCATTGCTAGCGATCTCAAAACCATTTGAGGATATGTTGTTCATGTAATTCTGAGCCAGCAAATTGCTCTGCATAGTATATATATATTGAAATCACTGCGCAAAAAACGGCCGATTTACCGACTTTCTCTCGTCTAAAAATTGAACCAACTTTTTTACGAACATCAGTTTGTTAGCTTTGCGTTTAATGTATATAAAACCAACTGAAAATTTAACAGAATTCTGTGATATTTCAGCAAAAACACATTCATCAAAGGGCATTGCCATCAGATTCAGTAAACAGCGGGTATTTCTTACTTGTATCATGACGCCGCCACCATGAGTGTTTCTATCTATAGACCAGAATTGATTATAACGACTTACTAACCAACTTTCATTTTTATCATTTTCTGTTAGCCAAGTTTCGATTAGACATATTATATCGGGTGGAGCCTCAAGACTGAATTTGAGGCCTCTGGCTGAATTTGGGCACAGCTCTTGCGGCGAGTCGATCCACGTCATTTCGACTTCTAACTTCGATATAACGGGTTCAGTTGCCAGAATTGCACTGGTTCTCTTGCTTGACGGCGCAATTGTCTCTACTGTCTTGAGCGGTTTTTCCCTGTTGGCATAATTTTGCTCTTTTTTATCCGATTTGGATAGCCGCTCTTTGATAAAAATAAATTTTCCATTGGATTTGTTGGTCAGTCCTTTCAATATTGCTTTTGACCTCCATATAAAACCTTGTCCTCGAAGTAAACGCATTTCGATTATCGGAAGCTATTTAATGAGTTTATCACAACAATTAGACTTTTCGATGTATTCCGGTTATGATGCAGTTGATTCAATTCCAAAAGAATATGCAATTTTGGGTACATATAGAAAGCAGTGAATTTGAAAAGGCTCCATTCAAAGCTTTGTTTATTAAATTTAAAAAAACATCTTCATTAAAGCTATTTACTAACTTAATTTTCATGGAAACCAATCATGGTTTAGTTTGAGCCTGAAACGCAGGCGGCCCTGGATAGAATCCCGGCATGTGTCAGTTTTTTCTTTTTCAAAGCATCCTTTTTCCAGAAGCGGAATTTGGCGCTTAGTGCGAGGGATTTTTTTTCTAATCAAATTCGCACATTTCTGTTTGATTTTTGTGCGTACAAAATTCTGGAGTTTGCATACAATATATTTTTCATGTGGCTATTTGATGTAGGAGACAGGAGGTGAATCCGCCGACTGAAAGCAGAAACCGTTCATTTCCTTGGATGTGTGTTTTTCAGCCATATTTTCGTGTAATGTTGAGACCCATCTTGGCTTTTTCGGCAGCTTCGCCTCTAAATCAAAAAAATATTTTGGAGAATTAAATTCTGTGTTTGTTCAGACGATAGTGACGTGGAGAGCGCGTGGGAGCAGATTGCAGACAACAACCTGTCCTACATCCCCTTTTGCTACATCACCCTTCTATCCACCAGTCCGTACTTCGAAAACAACGTCACGATCCAGGGATGTGAACAGAACATGAACAAGTGGCTACTGTCCCAGTTGTTCGCAGAGGACGCTGAAAGCACTGCAGCTATCGTGGAAGAAGTGACGAGCGGCAAGTTTTACGCGAATTTCCTCGAGTCGCAAGACGGGTGCATTAACAGATCTGTGGTAGATAAATTCTCACTGGATCTCTACCAGAGGGCAAGAGCCGCACTCTTGGCAGAGTCCATGCTGCGACGAGGTAGCTTACTTAAACTTGATATTTTATTTTCGAGTATTTCCTAAAAGGCAGATTTTCATCATTTTTCCCCATATTTTAAGCTTTTCTGTTTCCTTTCTTAAGAGTAATAAACGTAGTGAAGACTCCTATATAGGTCTTGGTGAATTTGTTTCTTTTTTATCCAGGAAATTATCTCAAAACTTGCTTACGCTCAAATAAAATTTTATGCGTTTTAGGCTCGATTAAAAAATTCAAAATTCCCATTGTTGAAAATGATGAGAGTGCTCGGAAGATTTGGTGCTACTCCAAAGCTACCAGCTACTATTGTTTAAATTGGCTATAAAAATTATTCTTGTCCTCTCCCTTCACTGTGTTTCAAAACTGTATTTGTCTCACCCTGAAATATTGCTGATGACAAAATATCGTAGTCTTTTTTTTCAATACACAATTTACTATTTTTTTACTCAGAGTAGTGTTGTATTATCTCACTCCACTTTTTTCATATTAAAAATAGCTGTCGTGGAATTCGATAATAGAGGAAATTTAAAGTCACATTGCTTAAATACTCGTCAATAACATCCAATGCTAATTTGTTCACCCTGATGCTTAAACCTTAGGCCTGTGTTTGTTAACCGGTTATCCAACTAACCCCGCTGGCAGTTTGTCACACTAGAGTATCATCACTAGTCCCGATTTCACAAATAGACATTTTTCGGTTCATGAGGCGAAAATTCGTCGCGAACAATAATTGGTGGCAGGCGACAATTGGTACCATTTCGAAAGGCGCCAATTAGCCGAAGGTTAATTTAACATGATAAATTGGGAAAATATAGAAAACATTTGCCGTCATGTTTTTTAAATATTCCAATATCGAAAATGTCTATTATCCAAATTCACTAACATTATACAGCAAGAAAACAGCCGTGTCTTTGTGGGAGTGGGGTTCTATATTAAAAGCTTTACGGAATTACTAAACAGTGAATCGTAGCCTTGCGACAAAAACATTTTTCTAATTGCGCCGTTTTGCCGCCTGTGAATAATTTTCGCACTGCTTTTTCGGCTATCAGATCCTAAATTTGCGCTGAATATTTCTTGGTAAGTTAAATGAATAATGGTTACATTGAATGACATGGAGAATCAATGACCAACCTTTTTTAAGCTTAAGTCAACGACAAAAGAATTTGATGTGTGTAACCGACAAGACTTATGTCAGTTTTGCTTACCTTGTTCACACTGTCTAGACCTTTTCACTTGTGCTGTTTTAATTTGATTTTAATTTTCAATTTTTGTTACTCGCTCTGATGAGATATTGTTCTGGATAGCTTTCCGTAATTTTTGATAACACAGATACTCGAAACATAAGAGAAAAAGGAAATTACAAAAACTGCTTCAATCAGCTAGAAACACTATAGTTTAATCAAGGTTGTCACAATTAACAAAATGTAGAAAGCTTGCAGCAGGATCGCAGGATTCTAACGGCAGGTATCGCGTAGAATGCGTAATAAAACGATTGTCAATGAAATTAGTGAAGACTCTTATATAGGAATAATTTTGTTCCGAAGAGAATTTGTTAGCTTACATGGTTATTTTTATCCTTGTGAAATGAAAGGTAATAATACGCTAGCGGATTTAAAGGGTCATACGTACCAGGAAACCAGAAAAAGTCTTCAATTTGGTACTACTTCAGGACATTCATTTAAGGTCTACCAGTATTTAAATTTTTAAAATCGCTTTCGGAGTTGATACAAATTTTTGAGGGATGGGAGGGGAGAGACGTAAGAATATATGGCTGATGTCAAGCCAACACTTAGTCCAGTTTCTAGTTTATAAATTTGGTTTGCAACTAGCACGGTGATCATAATTACTATTCTGAACACTGTTCTTTACGCTTCACATCGTAATATCACGCATTGCTGCAGAACTGCTTTAGCTCAATTTAACCATTGATATGAATTCTCTCAAATATGAATTTGAACTGTAGTTTTTGCTACCACTGGAAAGGTCCTGGATTTTAAGAAGTAATTGTTTCCAGTGTTTCACGAATACTGTGTACTTAATGCGAAAAATTTTCTTTTTGCAGCCAATTTTGAGACATTTGGAGTGTTTGAGATATGCTCAGACACTCCAAAAAAGATTTATTTGAGATTTTCTTGGAGGTTTTAACTAAAAATGATCGTTTGAAGACACTTATTTAGTTCGTGCGTGTTTTCGTTTTTTTTTCAGTAAAAGGCAACTGTTTTACTCGGTCAGATATTTTTTGTAGCTCTTTCGAATTTTTTTGTTAAAGGGAAAAAAATAGCGCTCTCCACGTTCTTTTGAAAGTGGATTTTAGTTTTTACACTAGCTTGTGTGCATTAGTGTTTTAGTACGAATCTTTTTTTTTACCTAACTCGCAAATAAAAATGTTCACTGTTTGGCGGCACTTTAGCTATAATTACGATCTAGAGCGTTGGAAATTTCATAGCTTCTGTTTTGTTTGTGGCTTGTGTTTGTGACTTGAACGATTTCTAGCTTCGATTTCTAGAATTTATTTTCAAGATTTCCCAGCTGAATAAAAACTTTACCTATTGATCCAGTTTTCTCAAGTTGGGTTCATGTTATCAAAAAAGCGCCAGTCATAAATCTTTCTAGAAATTCAAAAAGCTTTAAGGGCATCTATTTTTTTCGTCGAAAGTTGAGACGTTATTCAACAAAGTCAGTGTTTTTTGTTTACTTGTGCTTATTACTTTTTTCCAATCTTTGATTGGCTATGTTTTAAATAATTCAGTGTTTTAAAATATGTACGCCGAAGGAAGTTGCACAAAAGGAGAGGTCTCCGTGTCGAGAAAAACTGCTTTACAATGACTCGATGAGAGAGAGGAGAGAGAGAGAGAGAGAGATTCTCTCTACTCTCAGTTCATTGCTATTGCTGTTTATTTTCAAAGGTTCGAATTTTCGCTGATTTTTGTGTAAAAATACACGAAGTTTACAAAAGAGAAAACCACAAAATATTTTGAAAACTTTCGAAAAATTTGTGTTTTTTCATTTTCATTTCAGAACTGTTGTCCAAACATTCTGTGCTACTTGCAGAGCGACCAGCTATCCTTGTTTTCAAGTTATTTTAACTCACTCTTTTTGTTATTCAGGTTTTGTTCTTTTTACATTTGCAATCAGCTTGTGTGTTTTTACGCACCTTCTTTTTTTCTTACCTTTCTCGTTAAAAGTGTTGGTTAAATAAAGTGTTCACGTATTTGGAAATTTCACTGTAGCGTTGGAAATTGCATAGAATCTGTTCTCTGCTTTATTTGCGACTGAGTGGTCAATGGTACATATTAAGCTTCCGCTGCTTAGTGGTTAGTATGCGAGGCTCTTCATTTCTAGGTCGCAGGTTCGAATCTCAGAGGTAGACGAATTTTTGTTAGTTCGAGGATTATTTCTTACTTTATTTTTATAGAACTTCTTTTTATTATGTTCTCGCAAGTGTTTGCGAAGCCTATATTTTCGAAATGATCACTAATGGCTGGCGCAATTCAAACCCTCAATATGCAATTGAAATTGGAATAGCTTTCAAAATCACCATCAAAAAGCACTTTGACGTATGTAAAAAAGGGAAAAACTTCGAATCGTTTGCCATGAAGTATTATAAAAATCTTATCTGAGGCAGTAATACGGTATCTTGGATTGGATTTTTTCACTCGATGTTAGTAAATCTTATCAAACTGGATTTTATCAAACCTTTTCGTGTTAACTACTAGATTGATTATTTTCTTGGCTTATAATTAATTCAAATTTCCTATAAAATCAAAATTCAGACCTTAATTCGCGCATGTCGCGAAGAGCTAACGCAGCTGCCTATAAAGACAAACGTCAATGGTTCGAATCAGGCCTGAACCTGTTTTTTGAATGCGGAAAACTGTTTGAGCGTCAAACAATTTTTGTCGGTTTTCTGTTTGACTGCTTTTTTGTGTTCACTTATTTGTCGCAGCATCGAATTTGCCTAATATTTGGGCTTTTTTACACTAATTTAAAAAAATGTCAATGTGTTCCGGTTTTGGGCAAGTAATAGAGTTCCAAGAAGTTTGGCTTTTTTTGCTATTTTTATTTTTCGTTCATGCTGTTCATTAAAAAGTTTTTCGGTGTTTTTTTTAATTCATCATGTGTTGTGTATTTGGTGCAGTGGTAACACCCATGCTTGATATGACAAACCCCGGTTCGATTCCAGTCAGGACCTGTTTTTTTATGGAAATTTTTGAGTATTTTAGACTTTCGTGTCTGCTAATTTTTTTCGGCGAAGGTCCCGCATGAAGGATTTCGCTTTTTCATGTAATTTTTCCGTAAGATGTAAAAAAACGTTTTGGAGATTTAGCACGCGTGTTTTTCAAAAAAAAATAGCGATTCGACACAACTCTTGTGTTCCAAAATTGCGAAATTTCAATTATTCAACCTCGTTGCTTATAAGAGTCGATGAACGAAGACTTTTATATTGGTCGTGATGATTTTTGTTACTTTTTTCAAATAAAGTCTTGAACTCTGTTCACGCTCAAATTTGTTTTTTTTGTGTATTTTGACTTTGGTTTCTTTTGAAATTCAGTTAATTCTTTTTGTATAAAGGAAGGCCAAATCCACTATCGAACAGCAGAAGTTTAAAGGTCGCAAAAAACCTGATCGACTTCTAATCTCGATTTTTATTTTCAGAAAAGAGTTTAATGCTGATCATTATCAATTTTGGAAGTTTTTTCTCAAGAGTAATGAACGTAGGTCTTGCTGATTTTTTTTTCCCAGGTAAAAGTCTTAAAATTTGTTCACGATCATCTTTGATTTTTCGCGGTTTGACTTGTGATTTTTTTTTAAGTGCACTGCATTTCTATTGTTGAAAGGAAGGCAAACTCCACTATCGAAAGGCAAAATTGTTAAGGTCACGAAAAACGTGATCGACTTTTATCAAAAAAAAGTCCATCATAAATTGTTCTTTTAATTCAAAGAGTTTTAAGGCCATTTATATTTTTCTTCGAAAATCAAAAGTTGAAGTCGTTTTTTTTGTTCATTTTTTCCACTTATCAGTTGGCTATGCTTTGTGCATGTGTTTGTTTTGAGAGTGAGGGAGGACTTAACTTTTATATAAGACTTCTTAAATTTAAAAAAAACATAAATTTTTGAATTTTTCCATCGCCTTTCTTGTTTTTTTTTTCTTTTTTTTTTTAGCTGAATAGATTTTGGCTTTCAGAAACACTTCAGCTCAATAGAATTTTTCGAACAAAAGTTTCTTTGTGTACGTGTGTTTTGAGGTTGAGCTCTTTTTATAAGTCTGAAGAGTTGTTGATTGTTTTTCCGCTCAAAGGGTTTCTGCTACGGTAGTTCCGGCTTTGTTACCGCTTGGTAAGTTTCATCCGATACTAATATCACATTCTGTTGTCTTGCCATGATTTTGTTCCCAAATTATTCTTATTCATTTTTTTGATAGATCTAATTTTTTCGAATTTTGGATTTTTCCGACCTTGCGGCTTTCTTATTTTGTATCGCAAGTGGTGCGAAGCGCAGCTTCGATTTTGTGTTTTAATTTTGTGTTTTCTTTGAAATGAAATTGACAATTTAAATAGCCAAATTTGAATTTATTAGCAAAATAGATTTTTATTTAACTCTTTTATTTTTTATGTGCTGTTTTTAAATGCTCATCACTGCTATTGGGCGAATAAGGCCTTTAATGGCAGTGATTTAGTATCTTCGCATATTTCACTTGTATAGATGTAAAGGTCGAATGATTATTTCGTAATTTTTACTTCCTGTGAGGAAAGGACTTTTTTCTTTTTTTAGCTCCTGACCTGCTAATACGAGTTATTTTGTATAGTTTTGTAAGAAAAAATTGTTTTGATTGCAATTAATCGTAGATATCATGCAAAATGTCTGTTAATGTCGAATAACTCAGGAAAAGTAAAAACAAACGCATTTTGTAAAATGGTGCGCTTAAAAGAACAAAGGTTGCTATGGGTTATCGAACACTTTGATAAGCTATCGGTCAATTGTAAACTTTATTACTGCTACCTCCACTTCCATAAAATAGGGCCAATTCGGTATATTGTTACAACAATATTGTGGTACGGATGAATTTCAAAGCTATTTCGCGAACCAATTTAAAGTAAGTATGAAGAGTCAATAAAAACGAGCGAATTAAGGATCTGGAGTATCGAAGTTCAAATGATGCCAAGTTGAAAGGCAAATTTAAAGACGTAATTGTTCGTCTTAGAGTTTTGTGAGCAATAAGTTTGATAAGATGGTACCAATGAATACCAATGAGATGGTACCAATGAGAAAAGTTTTGTAGATGTATTTAATAAGCGTTAAGGACTGAAGTGAAATTCTTCTATTTAAGTCATGTTTTTCGGAGAAATTCTATCTTACGTCTCCGATTTAAAAAAAATCAAATAAATGGCGCCAAAAACAGGTTAGTCTGAAAACTTTCAGAGGCAATTTGAATTTTTCAGAGGCAATTTGGATCTCGTTCTTTTGACCGACACTTCATTTTTTTCTTAGCATTTCCATCTTTTAGTTAGAAGAAAAAAATGAAATGAGTTTGTGTAGTCCTAATTTTTCTTTCGTGTGAGGTAATTGATTTCTTAAACAATTGCGAAAAGAGTTTTCTGTTTTTTTTTATAGTCCATAATTTTTTAACAGAATTTGTTTAATTTTTCTTTTTTCGTATGAGACAGATCTTTTGAACTGGATATTAATTTTATATCGCAAGTTTGAAACTCAGCTTTAAGTCTGTGTTGAAATCCCCACCAACGAGAACATGGCAGATCCGCCTCTGATTTGAAAGAAAGAGTCAATCATAAAATTATTTGGAAAAAATAAATTGAAAGATCATGAAAAGTTGAAATCAATTCAATCATGTTTTTTTTTGGTCGAGTTCATTTACAGTTATCCAAATTTCTGTTGGTTATCTCTACATTTGCGATAGCAAGTGTGTTACAACCTGGTGCTAGACTTTTTCCCGCAAATAAATTTGTTAACAGGACTCACGCATCTCTTTGCCACATCTCTTCAAAATATGACTGTTGAATTGGCGCACAGACATTTCGGCCACAGACAATTCAGCCAAAAATATACAGACAATTCAGCCTGAGACAATTGAGCCAGTTTTACAAAACGCTAGATTCGAATGAAAAAAAAATCGGAATTGGAGTTATTTCTCTGTTTTCAAAGTTTGCTTCTTATATTGGTTGTAGGTTACCAACTCAATTTATTAAGTTTATATTTTTTTCGGCTTAACATGTTTCGGCCTATACTTAATCGAATTAGTGGCCTTATATTGCGTCGTTTGAGAAAAAAGTGATCGTGTGTGGTTTTTTCAGGGGGAGGGGGACTCGAAAACTTCGTATAATTTTTTGTCTTTTTGAACTTTTTTAGGCTTGAATGGTTTCTGTTCAGGTAATTTCGGCCGTTTCGTGAGTTTTCTTCGGATGCTAATTCAACGTTCTATTGTTATTTTAATGGCATCTTTTTTAAAACAAAACTAGCCTAATCCAATTTTTACTTCTGGTTTTTGGCAATGTCGAATTGTTTTCGACTATTTAAAAAATGACTTTTTTGTTTGTATCGCACGTGTAAGTGCTGCGAAGCTCCGCTTCAACTCTCTGTCGAATAGTTTCAATTCAAAAAAAGTTGTGCGTGGATCAATAACATTCAATCATAGAAGTCATGAAATTGAGAGAGATTTTATCTGATGTAGTTAGGAACAATTCGGAAATTGAATCATGTTCAAGTCGAATCATGTTCAGGTATGACCATACGCGATGTTGCGGGAGTCCAGTCAAGACATATTCCGGTCAAGTTGGTCCAGCACTTGATGCACAAGCAAGTGCGACGCAGCGTCGATGTGTTCGTGAATGAAACGTGCCAGAAGTCGCAGAAGTTCGTGCAGTTGTTCAGCGCTTTCTACTCGTTGATTGTAATCAGAGTGAACACGGACAACTTCAAAGAGAGCAATTTGCAGATTGTGCACGAGTACCTGTCGAAGTTGCAACATTTTTCGGGCAAGTTTGAGAAACTTCCAATATACTTCGTATTGTTCACCGCGTCGCCCGAAGATGGGAATATGTTGGGGTCCAATCAGCACAAAGGGAAGGTGCATGATGTGCAGACTAAATTGAGACTTCTGCTGAAGACGGTGGGCAAGCAGAATTACGTGGAATTCTTCACAATCAACTTGGGATCCAATTTGTGCTCAGGTATGCTACTGACTCATAAGGAAATTGAACAATGTATTACTAGAATTTTTTTTGATAATGTTAACGGGAAAAGCATCAACGAAAAACCTTTTTTTCCCGCTGAAATCAATTGGCTTTTATTTGTTTTCGAACAGCAGTTCGAAGCAAGATTTTTCCACGTGAAGCGTCGACATGAAATGCGAAATATCCTTCGCTGTAATTTTAATTGAATATGGAGAGTTTATTGTGAATTCTCATTTTCATTTTTCGGTGTCGTTTCCGTTTGAGTTTAAAACTTCAGTGAAACTCACGTGATTTTGCGAAACTTTTTTTTTCAATAAGATTCTTACATCTCGTAATTGCAGATTTAAGGGGAGCTGGCCCAGTGACTAAAGCGATGAATTTGAAATACGAGAGCGCATTTTCACTTACTGCTGGACTGTTTTGTGCGAGCTTTCATTCGTTCAAAGCATCCATAAATCGCTAGGTTTTTTTTCGTGTTTGCATGCGAAGTGCGTTTTCGCATCAAGTGTTTGAAATAAGTGTCGAGCTGAGTTTGATGGACCAGTACCTGATTTTTTTTTACTTTTGGTGTGTGTAGATGAGTGAAAAGCAACTCCATGCAATTTTGGTGTAGGTATTCCAATGTTCTTTCCGACAACAACGCACATGGGAACTGCAATGAAATGTAGGCCCACATGAAAGCCAAAATGGGTGGAAAGCCGTCGTAATGATTTTTAATCAGTTATTTAAGTTGACGATCGAAGTGATTTTAACTTATTTAGATCGTGTTTTATTGCACTTTTTAGCGTCGTTTTTTTTTTCAACTGCCAATGACTGTAGTGTATACATATATAAATGAATTTTTTTCGTTTTTTCTAGAAAGTCTTTAAAACTTTTTTACGCTGTAAATTCTTTTTTGATTTCTTTCAATTTCATCTCATTTCCGTGTTCAAGGGAAGGCATCACAAAAATTTGATCGACTTCTAGCTTTTAATTTCAGATTTCGCAGCGGAGTATGAAAATTATCTATTGATCCAGTTTTTTCGGATTCAAAAAATATATTGGGACTTTCATCTCTTTTTAAAAAATTTTGGCAACCTTCTAAGGCTTTGTTAATCTTGTATCGCAACTGTTGCGAAGCTCCGCGCAAATTGAAATTATTTGGATTTTTCGGCTTTCTTGACGTAGAGGTAAAGACTAACCCTGGGATGGCAAAGGTCAGAGATTTCAATTTTCATTGTAGTTGCCAATTGACTCTGGTTTTTGATTCTGCAAATTGAATTTTTTTTTGTGGTTAAAAGCTTTATTCGGCCTTAATAGAAGCACTTAGCATAGTGGTAAGGCGTTCATGTGAAACGTCGAAAGACAGTTTAAAACAAGAATTAATTCTCCTTGTTATTTTATCATATAGATAATATAGATAGATTAGTATTTAAATAATGTCATGACAATAGAAGTAAATACAACTCAAATCTTTCATAAGTTGACAGAGAGTGAATAGAGCGCATGCTGTTAAAGTTCAAGTGGATTGGCAGGTCGGTAACGACCTTGACCGATAATGGAGTTTAGCACGAAATAGCTAGCACACTGATGACGTCATGTTTAAGATTAAACAACGACGCACCACATTTCCCCCTCTCGGGAAAAAATTCAAACCGTGTTTGAATTTCTTTACTCTTAAGTACAAAATTAATAACTGCGCTTTTACATATGCAACCGTGAAGGTAGGCAAAAGATTTATGGAAATGACTATCATAGATGAATGTTTGATATGAATTTAAAGATTATGGCGAGAACAAGATACAAAAGTTTGTATAATTTCCGGACCAAATGCTGAATTGATAAATGCGAAAGTTTTAATTACGATAGTTTGTATGATTTCTGGACCAAATGCTGAATCCGGTAAATGCAAAAGTTTCATTTGTCTGACCGACATGAAGTTTTACAAATAGAAATTTGGTATAAAGTTTAAAGTTTTAACAAATACAGGGTACAACAGTTTGTATAGGTTCTGGACCAAATGCCGAATTCGATAAATACAAAAGTTTTATCTATCTGACCGACGCGAAGGAAAGTCGGAAGTGCTCGTTTTGGGAAAACGAATAAATTTCCTATGTTTTGGGGAATCCTCGGGTATATCAGCCCGAGACTGGCTTACTTGATTAGTACGATCAGAACTGGACACGACAAAACGGACTTTCTTATCCGGAGAGGCAGGAGTTGACGGAGGCGTAGTTGCTGACTGCGACTGAATGACATTAACTGAGTGTCTAATAGGGCTACCGTAGAATGTAGTTTGCTTTTTCCGTCGTGAAGAAGATCGTGACGAATTTGACGAAGAAGACATATTCCCATCCTGTTCCGAAAGTATGCCGTGACTATCTTGGTTGTTAGAACCCGATGCTACCAATTTTGATGAAGTTCCTACTTGTGACTTCAAGATTGACGATTCATCGTCTGAAGAGATAGGAATAAGATCTGAGCCTACTGGGGTCATTATTGGAATTGGCGCCTTTGGCTTGATGCTAATAGGAATTTCCGTTCCTGAATTGCCAGACTTAGAGGAAGAGACAATAACTGTAGATTTCGGTTTGACATTAATACACCTTGGCTTGACGCTAATAGGAGCCTCTGTTCCTGGATTACCCGACGTAGAGGAAGAGACTGTCAAGTCTACCATCGGAGTAGAATGCTGTGGATACGGGATGTTCTGTATACCCGGAGCCTCCGAAGTTGCATCTTCCCTTAATTTTGACGCCACCATTTGACCGCGAGGTGGAGTATGTGAAACTGGCATAGAAGGAAATTTCGAATGAGCAGGCACGTACACTGTTTTCGCTGAAATACGTTGCCTGGAACCCGCTCGTTTGAGAGGCCTATTATCTTCCGATGATGATGTTGAAGATGGCACGTTTGGGCGTTTCTTCCCTTTCTTCACCGGAGTTAATTGTTTTCCTGAAAAACTTAGAGGGGTTGATTTAAGACGCACTGCCAAGTGATTCCTTCTAATAACTTTCCCTTTATCAGAAATATATGTGGAATCAGTGATCCGCACGATTTTGCCCTTATAAGGTTTGAAAAGTTCTTTGCCAGACTTCCTATTTAGAAATTTCCGAAAAATTTCGACCTTATTTGGTTCGTTCAATACTAAATAATCCAAATTACGTTTTGGCAACGAAGGGCGAATTTGTTCCGTTGGCATTTGGTTCCGGAATCTGAGGGTACCAGCAGACAAATTCGAACGAAGAGTGGCTGCGAGGATTTGATTTCTCTCCGTCAGAGTCTTCAGGGCTTTGACCCCCTCCTGATGTGTTAGAGACTTTTTCAATGACAACCACTGGTTTGCAGATTGTGCCAAGCTCTCCAGTGCACGGTAGTGGGGTGTATCCGCTATTGAATCTGTGGTTCCACCAAAATGTGGAGACACCGTCGGGCTTGATTGTCCTTTCTTGACGACTTTGATTCTAGGGCGACTATCGCACTGCTCCCGTCGTTGCTCTGGTGTGAGCAGGTCCCGTTCCAAACGTTGGTTGTCTAAATGAATTCCCGACGTTAACCGATCAGCCGCTATAGATAGCTCCGTATTCGGAGGACGACCAAAATGAAGTTCAAACGGGGAGACCCCGGTAACTGAATTTTTTGTAACCCGGATATCTTCAATAATATTCCTAAGGGTATCCTGAACATTAGAGAAATCCGAACTTAACCGAGAGGCCCCCAAGCGACGCTTAATTGTTTGTATCGACCGTTCGACTAAACCACAGCCACGATGGTCCCCCACCGGACAAAAATATTGTACAATATTTTTCTCTAGACAAAAATTTTTCACTAATTTATTTTTGAAACCGGAGTACTGGTCTGTTTTAATGGATCTGGGAATACTGTGCTGTTGAATGTATGACTTAAGAAATTTAATGATCTTCCGTCCTCCCGTGGAACGCGTAATCATAGCCGACGGATATTTTGAATAACGGTCGATTGCGACCAAGATATAAATACTGTTACCCAATGAGTCAAGTAGAGGGCCTGCGTAATCAAGTTGCAGCTCTTCATTAGGACCCGATAAAAGGGGTAACGGCTTGGATGAATTAAATGATACGTTCGCTTTCAAATTCTTACCAAACTTTGTGCACTGAGGACAATCTTTGCACAGTTGTATAATGTCCCGATGCATTCGGGGCCACCAGATGTATTGTGCCGCGTCAACCATTGCTAACTGACCCGCATGCGATCTATGAAGTCGATATAACAAAGGTTTGCGAAGACACATGGGAATACCGATCCTATTATCCACCACAACACAGCCATCAACTACCGCTGCACAATGCCAAAATGATTTAATATAGGAGTCGATACGGCAAAATCCTTCGTAATCCCGGTTGATAATTGCTCGTTTCATGAGGCTTAAACTGGCATCTTCATCCGTTAGCTCCGATAATACATCTGAGTCCAGAATTCCCACCAGTCCAGTTAATGATTTCTGGTCCGCAGAGACCACTGGTGACTTTAAAATCTCGAGGCTGTTGACTGACTGAGATAGTAGTTTGGGCATCCTGCCCCGTTTGGACCTGAAATTCGCGAGAATACGGGCGTATTGACTCCTCAATTCTACTCCTCGTTGAACTGTTGTGGATCTTCTGGGTCGAACAGCCCCCGCGTGAAACCGCGGCCTGGCTCTATCTGAGGAGAACCAATGTTGAGTGACCGGCAGATACTGATTTAACAACTGCTCGAAACTGTCGTTTGTGTTGTTGGTACTTGTGTTGGGATTCATTGCAGTCTGAAAGTGAAAAACACTCAAAATAATTTCTATCCAACCAATCCGATATGTTGAAATCAAGACAAAAAAATTGACTATTAATGCCAACAGATGACAACTGCTCACTGCCAAAGTAATAATCCACAATAAAATTAGAAATGGCAGATAAGTTATGATCCATGCTGAGAAAGTGGCAAAATTCGGCATGTTAATACTTGACGCTGATTGGCTAGAATATGAGCCAACACTTTGGACGCCCTCTAGCGGAGGAGAAATTGGTGGATTAGAGGAGTTATTTTGACTAATGGCGAACATTTTGTCGCCCTCTAGCGGATATAAACTTTCCGAAGTAGATTGAATGTCTTGAAATAAGACGCCCTCTACCGTTCTATTTCCACACTTGTTCGTTGCAACAAGTGAACTATTGATATCGGGACAATTGATCCGAGATTGACAATTTCCCAATAATTCAACTAGGTTAATTTGAACAGGTACAACATAATCCTGACCTATTTCCACGGTATTTGATAACTCCTCAGATGAAGTATGATGCTTGGCCCAACCGTCCAAGAATTCGCATGCCTCAAAGAATCGACTAATGCATTTGACGACATATTGTTCATCAAAACTACTCGGTGGTGGAGCTTCGAATGTTGGAAACCGAGATAAGTAATCCACGATTCCTAGCTTACAGCCGGAGATATGGAAAATATCGAAGTCGAAAGGTAATAACCTATCAGCCCATCGAGTTAAACGTGACTGATACGTTTTGTTTCCACGGTTCGTCTTTAATGCAGATATGATTGCTTTATGATCAGTTAGAATCACGAAATGATTCCCTAACAAATACGTTCGGAAATGCTCACACGACCATACAATTGCTAGGAGTTCTAATTCATTGGTACTATATTTCTTCTCCTGATCGTTTAGAAAACGTGATGCAAAAGCAATTGGCACCCAAACATCCTCCTCTATCTCCTGTTCTAATGCTGCACCCAGACCACTATGACTAGCGTCACATTTAACTCGCGAGTTCCGGCTTTGGTCATAGTGATACATTTTTGTTATGTTCGCGATCAGCTGTAAGATGTTGCGAAATGCCATTTGCTGACATTCCCCCCACTCAAATTTGCTTTTATTCCCTGCCGTTAGTGACGGGCGTAATTGGTCGGAATGGACCTGAAGATTCGGTAAAAACCGTTGTAGATGGTTGAGTATGCCCATGAATGAACGGAGTTGTTTGAGTGTCCTTGGTGGTTCCAGAGCGAGTACTGCCTCTATCTTAGAACGTTTCGGTCTATATCCTTCTGAATCAATATCGTATCCTAACCAAGATAATTGATTTAAGGAAAACTCGCATTTCGAAAGTTTCAGAGCAAAACCTTCTTTATCCAGACGACTTATCACCTTGTCTACAAGAATATTATGAACCTCGACTGAGCCCTTCGAGACAATCAGAATATCATCAAGGAAACAAAATACTCCTGACAGACCCTGGAGAGTGTTGTCCATCGCTTTTTGGAATTCCTTTGGCATGTCCGTAAGACCATAAAACCCCGTCTTGAACCGATACGTACCAGTTTGTTCTCCGCAGACGATATTAAAATTGCAATGTCGGCTAATTTCCTCACTGAGCGGAATCTGGCTGAAGGCATATTTTAAATCTAAGGACGTAAACCAAACATCTCCTGAAATATCCGATGTAATTATCTGGGCGGCTGAGTCCAATAGTTCTAACAAATTTGGCATTTGGTAATGATTCTTATGAATTTGTTCATTCATAGGTTTAGCATCCATAGCTAATTTCACAGAGCCATCTTTCTTCGCCGTAATTACTATCGGAGAGATGAAATATTCACTGGTACATTTATTCAATTTAACCACGTGCCCTTCATGAATGAGTTTTTGAATTTCCTTACCAACTTTATCCTGAATATGCACCGGCACTCTCCTACCCTTTTCTTGGATTGGGACAAGTGGAGACTTGAACGTAGAGAATACTTTGTGGTTTTTGGCTTTGCCGATTCTATTGAACACCCGATGGAACTTCTGGTGAAAGTGAGATTTCCATGAATCCGATGTTAAATTCGGGTCTGATTGGGAGACTTCTCCCACCAAAGGACGATCTGGTCTGACTTGCGTTGTTCTTACTCCCAATTGTGGTTGCATATCCAAACCCAGTAAACAGCGTGTTCGATTTTCTGATATGAGGAATTTTGCAGACTTGATATGCCATCCCAAAGATGATACATCCACAATCAACGTACCCATCAATTCAATTTTCTTCCGATTATAGTCAACGTAAACTGTATCAATTGGACTTTCTTGAACCGTGAAGAACTTGGCTGAAGGAACCGTTTTTATAATATAGTCTGCTGTCTTTTTATTCACGAAGGAGGCTGGACTCCCAGTATCTACTGTTGCCTTGAAAAACGTCTTACCACAACGTAGTGTAATCTGGATGGAACGTAACTTACCCGTGGCTGCATTTACCACCTCCAACCTTTTCACTGATTTAATTGGTAGACTTGGTTTCACAGCTGCTACAGATAAAACAGTGAATTCCGACTCACTATCGGACGTGATGAAATTACATGTTTCTTCCACTGTCTCATCTGACTCAGCTTCCACGTTCGCTACATTCTTAGAATTACAGCATTTGGCAAAGTGTCCCTTTTTGTTACAATTCCTGCAAGTAACATTTCTGGCTGGACAACTTTGCTTGTGGTTTGGTGAGAATCTGTTACCACAGAAATAACATGACTTCGATTTATTGTTGATCTCCTTCTTCTTACCATTCTGGGCCCGACTAATCCTGTCTGAAAGTTTCTTACCCTGGACAGAGAATGTGGGTTCCTGTTTGATCCTGGAATTCTGACCCATAGTATTACCTGCCTGGGAATAGTTGCCCGACGACGACGAACTCCCGAGTTGCCTTTGCAAGTCGGTTGCCGTCTGTGCTCCCTTTTCTTGCAGTAAAGCTGATTTCAGAGAATCCTCCGGAGTAGCACCTGGGTGAATGCATAATTCTCTCTGGATATCCTTATATCTCATTTTTGCGATGAATATATCTCTGACGACTTCCTTTTCTTGATCAATTGTCCATCCACACAGGGCGGCTTGTCCCGTCAATCGTAAATAGAATGCTTCCAAATTTTCTCGGTCTGAATGTACCGCGTTGTAGATTTGCATACGTTCAATGATGAAATTTTTCTCCTTTCTGAATAGGAGAACACAGAATTCATGGAATTCCCGAAACGTTAGTTCACTCAGATCTGCATGAGGATAACTTTGGAGGAATCTTTTCCTCCCTTCTGAGCCGAGCGAGAAGAATAAACGAGACTTAACCCGTTGTTCAACCTCGAAATAATACACTCCTGGTGCCACTCGGGGACCTTTCGCCCGGCGCTCTTCATTCATTTCTGTGACTTTCCGGACTGCTGCGTCATTACGTGCAATACGACTTGCGATTGCTGCAGCATCTTCATCCGCCCCTACGACTTCTGGTTTTGGAGCAGGATCGTCGTGTACGATACCCGGCGGTTTTAATAACTCTCGTGGATCGCATCTCTCTCTTAGAGTAATTGCCAAGTTGAATTGACCTATCCACGAGTCCCAGCTATGTGGTGGGTCCGCAGTCGGTTTATGCCAAAATACGGATACGCCCAACAGGTCAGTTCGATCCTCGGAGGTCGAAACTGCTGGCTGCGCCATGTGAAACGTCGAAAGACAGTTTAAAACAAGAATTAATTCTCCTTGTTATTTTATCATATAGATAATATAGATAGATTAGTATTTAAATAATGTCATGACAATAGAAGTAAATACAACTCAAATCTTTCATAAGTTGACAGAGAGTGAATAGAGCGCATGCTGTTAAAGTTCAAGTGGATTGGCAGGTCGGTAACGACCTTGACCGATAATGGAGTTTAGCACGAAATAGCTAGCACACTGATGACGTCATGTTTAAGATTAAACAACGACGCACCACAGTTCACTAAGAAATCGTCAGATCGTGTATTCGATCCCATGCCATGGCAATGATAGTGTGCGAGGACAAGCTCTCACTTGACCTCCAGCTTCAGGTCTACCACAACATGACCAAATTTGGCTGCAATAGTGGTAACACGTAAAAGTTCTTGACGCAAAAAACAGCTTCGTTCAACAAAATAACACTGTCTGAAATGTGGGGAGATAATACAAATGGACTATCCTCGACAGGACTGTTAAGGCCTACTGATAGATCCTCTGCGATTCGCAGGAACTACATTATTATTATTATAATAGTTTTGGAATAATGTTTTTTTTTTGCGTGTAAGTGGTTTTTGGCCTAATTTTGGGTCGTTTGAGGGAAAAATTTTTTTCGCTCACTCCCCTACCTTTGCGGAAACATTAGGATAGGAGTCTTAAAACTTCAGAACTTTATTGCTCGAAATTTTCTTGACTGCATTCTTTTCGGCTCATGCTTTGTCGTCTATTTAACATATGTTACGCCGGCGCTCGTGTTGTTGGACGTGTGTCGCAATTTAAATCAAATGAGAGAATTTTTTCGATTTTGCGAAGTTATGTTTGTCGGTATCGCAAAAGGTGCGATGCTCCGTTTTGCCTGTATATTCAAAAATTGATTGGGCTAGTTTTCTCTAATTGGGCGGCTAATTTTAGCGAATAAGGGTTCATGAAAAAAGTTTCTCGAAATTTAAAGATTTTTTTACACTTAAGTCTCCTCGAGTTCATTGACCCTTTTCCAACTATCTGTTGGCTACGTTCAAATATTTGATAGTTTTTTTTTAATCTTGCTCAAAAATTTTTTCCCAGGCCTATTTCAGTTTATTTGAATTGCAGGTGTGGCTAAATTCAAAAACAAACTGAGTCGAGACATTGTGGAGCAGGAGTTCTGGTGCCAATCGGAGTGCCTGGACATCAGGGGAGAGAAATGGAACCGAAAAGGAGGATCCGAGGGATCCTTCCCCAAATACCCCCTGAAGTTCCTCGCATGCAGGGACCTCATTGTGTCCAAAGCACAGACTGAGTTCGAAAAGAAGCGCCCATTCTGCATACCATTCGAACAGTTCAACGATTTCATAATAAGACGATCCGAAATTGGTAATTTTTATCAGTTTAATTGTATGCTAAGTTTTTTGGTTTTACTTTTGATTCTCACATTTCAATTTCGTTTTCAGAGAGACTTTGATGTTTTTTGTTTTCCAATTGCTAAGTTTGAACTGACTCTAAAAGAAACCTTCTTTTTAAGATTAATGAACGTAGTGAAGACTCTTATATAGGTCTTGCAGATTTTTTTTTGTTTTCAGGAATAAGTCTTAAAATATTGATGCACTTAGGTATAATGCACTTTTTGAATTTAATTGAAATTGATCTGCTGAATGTTACGTAAAAAGCACTCCAAATACGAACGTGGAAATGGCGCAAAAAAGCGTGAACGATTTCTAGCTTCGATTTCTAGAATTTATTTTCAAGATTTCCCAGCTGAATAAAATTTTTACCTATTGATCCAGTTTTCTCAAGTTGGGTTCATGTTATCAAAAAAGCGCCAATCATAAATTATTCTAGAAACTCAAAGAGCTTTAAGGGCATCTATTTTTTTTTGGACATTTTTTTCAAGAAAGTCTGTTTTTTATGTTTACTTGCGTTCATTACTCTTTTCTCATCTTCGATTGGCTATGTTTTTTGTTATGAAACTGAGTAAATTCTATATTGAAGTAAAAATTAGCTATCAATCAGATTTTGTCAGATTGTTTTCATTAAAAAATGGCCTATAATGAGAAGTTCGTGGATTAATTTTCGATTAAAAAAGTGACCTATTATGATAAATTACTTTATATGTTGTTGTAATAAGTTTCAATATAGGGAAATATAAGAAAAACCTGTCACTGTAGTAAAACAGCTTTTACCTCTAATCTGGTTAATTGAATTTTTCTTCACTTGTTTGATAATATATCTCGGAAAGTGTTGAAGAGTCGATGAACGTAGTTCATACTCTTCAATAGGTCGCGAGGATTTTTTTTCAGGAAAAGTCGTAAAGCTTGTTCAGGCTTAAATTTACTTTTTCGCAGTTTGATTTTCGATTTAGTTTTGAAACGCAGTTGATTTCTTTTGTTAAAAAGAAGGCAAACTCACTTTCAAATGGCAAACGTGTAAAGGTCACGAAACATGTGCTCGGCTTCCAGTTTTGAAGTGGAATTTGACTTTCAGGTTTCCCAGCGAAATATAATTTTTACTCAATGATGCAGTTTTCTCAAATTGGGCTAATTAGATATAAAAAGTGCTACTCATAAATTGTTCCGGAATTTCAAAGAGCTTTAAGGGAATCTTTTTTTTGCAATACGAAAGTTTTCAGGAAGAATTCAGTATTTTGTTGCTAACTTTTTGACTTTCCTCAAAAACTATCCTCCCAAATCTGAGATTTTGATTTTAGTCGAAAGGACAATTTAAGGGAAGCTCCACTGCTAAAGCGGCTACCCACAAATTTTTTAAGCCAAAAGTTATGGCCCTCGGAAAAATTAAATTTTTTGACCGTGTTTTTGAAACTTTTTAACATTTCTCGAAAATTCCCCTCCAAATCTATTGAGTTCAATCAAACAGGTTGTGTGAAGCTCCCCCTGGTTAAGTGGCTACGGTCAAATTTTTCTACAAAAATTTAGGGTCTTCGAAAAAATCAAATATTAGATTATGTGACCGTTTTTGAAACTACGCTCGACAACTATGGTCCCAAAATGATATTTTGTGTTCAATAAAAAAGGTCGAGAGAACTCCCCAGGATATTCGGCGACGTCCAAATTTTCCAACAAAAAAGTTATGGCCCTCAGTCAATGTTCTGATTTCTGCGTTTTTTGAAACTTTTTGACTCTTCTCGAAAACTACTCAGCTGAATCTGATATAAAGTATTTAATCGAGGCAAACGAGTTTGGGAAGCCTCTGTGCATAAGCGGCTTCGTCTAAACTTTTTTACGAAAAAGGTTATGTTTTCTGGAATTTTCTAGTTTCTTAAAAAATTTCACCCTTATTTTCATTACAGAAACAACTAAGGTTTTGGGTGAAGCCAATTTTTGAAATTATCTATTTCTTCCCGCATCAGTACAACAAAATCAAAATTTATCATACATGTGCTTTAGCTGGACCCCTAGTAAAAGTTTCATATATTGATATAGTTTGCTCAAATTGGGTTAATTTTAGGGAAAAGTGTCAATCATTAGTTGTTCTAGAAATTCAAAGAGTTTTGAAGGCATCTATTTTTTCTTTGAAATTTAAAAGTTGAGATTTTTAAAAAAACAAGTCAGTGTTTTTTTATTTGCATTTATTGACTATTTTTTAACTGTCTTTTTGCTATGTTTTCTGTTTACTTGTGTTCATTGACTCTTTTTCAACTGTCTGTTGCATTTAGATAGAGAACACACTTTGAACTGAAAGCACAAAAATGGGCACGAAAAATTCCCGAGCAAATAATCGAAAGATTAATCTGTTGTTGACAAATAGGTGGGTGTGGTTATTCAAAAAGACCTATATTTTAAAAATTGATACATTTTAACTAAAGGCTTGCTTCGATGTTCGTCTGTACAGTGGTTTACAAACTAAATTCATTTGCATGCTTTTCTGAGTTTAGATCAGACGCAAATAACAGAGGCGCTTCACTATTTCGAGAACAGTGGCTTCATTCTTACTGTGAACTTGGCTGGTAGCCAGAACTTGAAGGACAGGTCCAGTTGTCCCATCTGGGTACTCATGTACCCGCACCTGGTCTTCATCAGCCTCTGTACAATGATGAAGAAGCTGTCGAAAGTGGCGGAGCGAGAGAGAAGCAACTCACTCCTGGGATCCTATGACGAGAAGTCTATCATGGCATACAAGAAACTGGGAGTGGTTGATCGCAGACTTTGGAATGAGTTTCTCGTCTCACTCGAGGTGGCACTTGGCTCGCCGCAGATTCTGGAATTCCTTGGAATTTGTCACTTCTCTCCGCCATCCCAGCACCTGGTGGGTGAAATTAACGAAGGGTATTTGCCAAATAATTATTACTCTGGCGGAAATATCATATTATAATGTCCTTCAACTCTTTGATACCTAAGGTGTTCGTTTTACTTTATAAAAATACAAAGTGTGTTCGCAGTCGGTTTTTTACGTAAGGCTGAATATTGAAATCCTGCAACTTTCAGGAACGTGTTCTGCTCATGTCGCAGATGAGAATCATCAACGTAACTGAGAAGAACTCAGCCCGGAAGTGTTGGTGTTCTAAGAAAGTAGCGAGCGGCGTCGATCGAGACTTGTCTCTTAAATCCAACTTCATTGTGCGCTTCTATGTCGCCAGTGGAAAGCCGCTGAATCCCTGGATCCTGTACCAGATTAACCAGGCACTCATAATGGAGTGTCTTCCCTACTACTCCCTGAACTACTCTTGCTTCGAGTACAACTGCGGGATGAGCAATCAGGGTCGAACTAGCAAGTCGTCTTCAAGAATGGCATCGCTGCTTTCGTTGAACGGCGAGGCAAGCCTGAACTACGGCATGAAAGTGAACCCGCTTGGTTGTCAGATACTGATCAGCACCGCAGTCAAGTCGTCTAAACTGAGTCCCGCATCCTCGATCCGCCATCTGTTGGCTGGGTTCCAAGGATTTCTCGTGTTGACTATTGGGAAAGTTCTCGAGGAATCTAAGTTCGTGTTGAACGCAGTTCAGCCCTCCACGGACTCAAGAGATTCACGAGTGCAGTTTGAAGTATCTCAGACTTGCTCGTGTTGTGAGTCAGACATGATGCCGCTTGTAACCCCTCAACCCGCAATAGTCCCGCCCAACGTCATGAACGCTTTGTGAAATACTGAATGAACAATTAACTGGGATTATTGAAATACCATAAACGAAATTGTCATTACCTCTTCTAGATTATGTCTTAATGATCATACATACTTCGTGTTTCATTATTATTAATGACTAAGTTAAGACTGCTGTTTGACAATTTCGGTGTTGCTGTTTTCTATCGACCGAAAATGGTTCTCCCGTTTCTATTTTAAGCTGTAATATTCCAGATTAAATGTATTTGATTACTAACCGTCAAAATTTCCCTACGCCCTCGAACCTTGAGAGGCGGTGATACTTGTAGGAACGCATACATCTTACTCTACCGGTTGGGGTTAAGTTGAGTGCAGTTTTTGGCATTAATGTAGTTTAGATTTAAATGTCAATAATTTTACATCATAATTAATGTTTGAATTTAATGTGAAACCCCTATCTCTTTCAAGGACTGGTGAGATGTCAACTTAGGCGATATTTTGTGCGCTATATTTAGAGTTGGTGAACGTAGTTCAGACTCTTTAATGGGTCGCGATGATTTTTTTTCTGGGCAAGTCTTAAAGTTTGCTCAGGCTCAAATTTACTTTTTCGAGATTTGAGTTTTGATTTTTTCTTAATTTCAGTTCCTTTCCCTTGTTTACACAAGCAAAGCTTGTGTTATAGTATGAACTATCTTTTTTTTTCAACTTAAGTCGCAAATATTGTTGCGACAAAATGTGTTCTTTTTGAAAGTGTTCATTTTGATCAATAACCAGCTATGAAGTACACCTAATGCTAAAGATATTAGCACAGACTATTATATTACAAATAGCGCTTTAGCTTCACGGTATCATGGATCTGTAGCGTAGAGGTAGGAAAGGAAATTAAGAGGGTTCGAACCTGGGCAGGGTCGGATGTTTTAAATGAACTTTTTCGTATACTAGTTAAAATGCGTCCGCTCAAAAAATTGAGGCATGTTATTTAGTAAACTTCTATTGTTTTGAGGTTGACTGGTACTGCTTATGCGTCATAATTGGCTTATGAAGGACAGCTAATTATGACGCAAACTAATTACGTCACATCAATTATGTAGACTCAAAGATTTACTCATTCAGTTTTTCTCGCTCTTATTTTTACGTCTAATTCTAAGCATACCTATTGATACAGTTTGCTCAAATTGGGTTAGTTTTATCGAAAAAGTGTCAATCGTCATTTTTTGGAAATTCGAAGAGCTTTAGATGTAATTTTTTTCCGAAAAATTGAAAGTTGAGTTTTTTTCAAAAAAGAACCCTATTTTTTTCTGTTCACTTGCGTTCATTGCCCGGGTCGTGGCCGTGGTTTTATGTTCAGACTTGCTTTAGACCTATTTTTTTTTCAAAAAATCGAAAGTTGAGTTTTTTTCAAAAAGAAGTTTTTTTTTCTGTTCACTTGCGTTCATTGACCGGGTCGAGGCCGTGGTTTTATGTTCAAAATTCATAGTCCCCACGCAGATCAAAGTCTGCAAAGTCTATACATAAGTCTGCAAAGTCTGAACATAAGTCTGCTAAGTCTGAACATAAGTCTGCAAAGTCTGACAAAAGTCTGCAAAGTCTGAACATAAGTCTGCAAAGTCTGAACATAAAGTCTGCAAAGTCTGATTCGATCCGAGTGGGGACCGAAAATTCATAGTCACCACGCAGGTCAAAGTCTTCATAGTCTGAACATAAGTCTGCAAAGTCTGAAAATAATTCTGACAAATCTGATCATAGTCTGCAAAATCTGAACATAGTCTGCAAAGTCTGAACCTAAGTATGAACATAGGTCTGCAAAGTCTGAGCATAACGTCTGCAAAGTCTGAATCGATCCGCATGGGGACCGGAAACTTATAGTCGCCACACAGGTCAAAATCTGCAAAGTCCGAACATAAGCCTGCAAAGTCAGGATGCAAGTCTGCAGAGTCTGAACATACGTCTGCAAAGTCTGAAGCCAGTTCTGAAAAGTCTGAACATAAGTCGTTATAATCTGAACTTAAGTCTGCTATGTCTGAATATAAGGTCCGCGGTATGAAAGTCGGTGTACGCGGTATGAATCCGAATTTCTGTGGTTCACACGGTGTGAATAATCAGGATTCTGTCGGTCTACATGGTCTGAAATCGGATTCAATCGGTCCACATGGTCTGAATCCGGATTTTTTGGTCCACACGGTCTGAACTAGGATTCCATTGTTGCACACGTCCACACGGTCTAAGTCAGACTCCTCCGGTCCACGCGGTCTGAATCCGGATTTTTTTGGTCTACATGGTCTGAATCAGGATTCTGTCGGTCCACATGTTCTGAAACTGGATTCATTCGGTCCACACGGTCTGAAATCGGATTTTGCTGTCCACTTGGTCTGAAACCGGATTCCTTCGATCCACATGGTCTGAAACCGGATTTTGTTGGTCCACACGATCATAAACCGGATTCCTTCGGTCCACACGGTCTGAAACCGGATTCAAACGGTCTGAATCCGGATTTTTGGGTTCAAATGGTCTGAAAGCGGATTCACTCAGTCCACACGGTCTGAACATAGTATTTTCTGGTCCACGCGGTCTGAGCATCCCATATTCTGGTCCCAACGGTCTGAACATGCTAAATTCTGACTCTTCCAACTGTCTTTTGGCTATGTTTTAAAAGTCAGTAAACTTATGCACACTTCTCAAAAGGAGTCCTAGTTTAAAAGAGACCATTTTTTTCTAAACAATGTTGATTTTTTTGTCTTCTCTGAAAAAACCATTTCTCTGGAAATTGTTCACTCTCATGTATGGTGTTCCGCAGTTTGACTGTTTTCTTTTGAAATTCAATTTTAATTCATTTGCTAAAATGAAGTCACCTTACGATTTTCTATTACTGAAAACGGGATGGACTTCTCGTTTCAAAAGTGCATCATAATTTATAGACTTCCAAACGAAATATCTGTTGATCCCGGCCAATTATGAAAGATCCAAGTCAGAATTAATAAATATTGGTTCCCAATAGGGAATTCGTGATTTAGTTAAACGGTCTTAAATACTACAGGGTATGCAAATTGCGGCTGGTCTCGTCGCTGATCCATTCGAAGTTCGATATGCGCGCTGAAGTTGTATTCCACAAAATTCGAAAGTTGAAAATGACTCGAAAATAATTCTTTTTTTTTGTTTTCCTGCAGTGTATTAAGAATCGATGAATGTAACTCACGCTGTTTTATAGTTCGTGCTGTTTCTTTTTTCAGGAAAAGTCTTAAAATCTTTTCAGGCTTAAACTTACTTTTACGAGGTTTGACTTTGATTTCTTTTCAATTCAGTTCATTTATTTTGAACTGAATTGAAAAGAAATCAAAGTCAAACCTCATGAAAGTAAATTTAAGCCTGAAAAGATTTTAAGCGTGATCCGTTTCCAGTTTCGAAAGCGGAAATTCAATTTCAGATATCTCAGCAAATTAAAAAGTTTTCTGATTGATCCAATTTTTTCACACCCTGTTCATTTTATCAAAAAAGCGTCAATTATTAATTGTTCTAAAATTCAAAAAGATTTCAGGCCATCTATTTTTTCTTCGAAATTCAAATTTGACGGTTTTTTCAAACAGAACAGTCAGTATTTTTTGCTTTTTCCTTGCGTGCATCGACTCTTTTTCAACTGACACTTGGCTTTGTTTGTTACTTTTTGAACTGTATGTTGATTCTGGCTTTGTTTGACACTTTTTGAATTGTATTCTGTTTCGTTGAATCGCGTATATATAAAATAGCCTTTTTTCTTTCAAATTCTGTGTTTATTATTACAGTATATTGAGTTTAAGTCCGGGTGGTTTTCTCGTAGAGAAATTTTGGATAAGATACACCGTCTGTTCGTCACGCTATCTTATATTCGGCCGGATAGATTCGTGCAACTTCTTAGTCTAATACCGGTCCTAATCTTACTCTTATAATTCTTAGTCTCAATAGATCTAGTATATACTGGTATTGTCGCGAGGTTAGAGTCAAGAAAGAGCAACTGTTTGCTAAGTTAAATTTATTTTTCTCTGGCTGAAACTGTAAATAGTTTCAGCCTTAAAATTTTTTGTAAGTTTTAGTCATGAATCATGATTGGTTAGTTCTAAGTATTGTACAGAGATAATTATCAAGAATATAATTGGATATAATAAATACTTGGTTTGAACTGGTTCCAATATGCTTGTAATCCACCGCTTATACAATTGATGCTGCTGATATTTATTCGTTATGTTTTTTAGGTTTTTTTTAATGAACGACTTGAAGTTTTTTTGATGCCTTCAGCTCTCAATCAAAGAAAATGCTTCAAATATGCTAGTTTAACCCAAATTGAAATGTTGGCTTGTTTTTTGAAATGAAGCTCTGAACGAGTGTCCTAAAGTTCAATGCCATGCAGTTTAACACCGTACATTTTAACATTTGGTCATATCACTACTAAACAATCTGAAGCCACAACAATTCAACTCCTATTTTCCAGTTTAACAACTTACATTTTAACACCTAGTGATTTCAGTAATAAAATTAATGTTGTACGAATTTCTTAACTCTTATCTTAACCTACCTAAATATCACTACCCGGAGCCCACCAAAATTTGTGGAAAGTAGTGGACAGCCTGCAAAAAAAACGCTTCCGTACAAAAACTCAATCTTTTGGTGCATCGAGTGGCCATTAGTTCACAAAAAAGAAAAAAAAATGTATGGAGTCTTAAATGAAAGAGTACAAAACATGATGCCCTTTACCAAGACAAAACTTATTTGTATTTTTTCAGAGCGTTATCTAGTTTGGGTTAAACCATTGAAAATTTTGTCTCATTTTTGTTCATTCTTCCGTATTTTTAAATATCTAATTTTAATCCTACCTAAATGTTGTCAGCTTTTTTTGAAAAGATGTTTCCTTGCAGAGTCCCGGAAACGTAACTAAGTTCAAGTTCGAGTATGATCCTAAAAAATATTGATTTTTAGACTTTTGGCATTGGTCAAACGTTTTTTAAATTTTTATACCGGCTGAAAATGTCTGGAAAATTAGGCCATATTAGTCAAAGGACATCTAATTATTTGCGGGCTTTTGAAGTTCATTGAACTATTGCTTGTATTTGGTTCATATTGGAATGATTCATTGAAAATATTGGCAAGGCCATTTCATTTCGGTTTGTAACGATCCATTGAAATGATTTGCAAGTATTTTCTTTTCAAAACTTACGCGAATTAAGTAGCGTGAAATTGTCTGGCTTAAAATGGCTAAAATTGATCTCTTTTAATTCTTTGATGTTTACAGAAGTCCCCTTTGAAGTAATTTTTCTTTTCATTTTGGATTAAAACTGTGTTAAGTCATAGAAATGGTTTTAAAATGTAGCGAGTTAAAAAGGGGGAACCCTCTGAAAAAAGAAGCACTTTTTCCGAAACCGATAAGAACACGATCACCGAGGAGCAGCCTCACTTGGGAGGGATGCAGTGATTGAAAAGGAAGGGTTCAAA